AATGTTTAGAGGGAAGAAGATTCCAACCCTCAGTTACAGATAAAGAAGATATAAATAAAGAGATGGCCCAGTGGCAAGACCACAGATGTGTGAAGTTTTTACTCCTGTGTAAATAACTTATCAGTAAGTCAATGTGATCAGACTAGGAAGGCCCTGCCATTCCTAAGGGTATTTGGCTGGGAATTAAATTCTGCTAAGAATATTAATTTCAGGTTGCCTGTGGATCTGGGTGCAGAACTCTCAGCTTCTTTTCCAGCACCATGTCTGCTAGCATGTTGCCAAGCTCCCTACCCTGATAACAATGGACTAAAACTTCAACAACCTCTGAAACTGTAAGCAAGCTCCAATTATTGAATATTCTCCTTTATAAGAGTTACTGTGGTTATGGGTGTCTTCACAGCAATAGAGCACTGACTAAGACATGATTCAAAGTGGTACCCTCAACAGGGAAGCCTTCATGGAACTGTACATTGGCTGGTCTTCACTACAGACAAGACTAAAAGATAGCAACAACAACAACATTAAAAAAAAAAACTAGGATACTTTATGCTGGTTGCCAAAGGACTGCTATTTCTTACGTGTATGTTGAATAGTTTTCAATTCTCCAAATTATTACACATGATGACAAGCAAAAATTGTAATGCTATTTAATGTGGTTCTCAGTCCATGTGGTTACTGTAAACAATCTCATTACAGAAGAAGGATGCTGAAGAAGAGTAAATACTTATGAAGATTCTATACTGTGTAAAAGTGACAGGTCCGACATAAATAGACAGCTGTAAATTTGATATGCACAATGCAGTACATAAGCAAGCACAGAAATGCTTTACAGTGTAATATGTTCCAAAATCAAACCTCAGTCTAAAAATGTTCACACAAATCTTGGAAGGCAAGAAATGGGCTGGCTAGAGAGCCCTTCTGTCTTCAGTTAATCAGTAGAGTTCAGTCACCTCAGAGAAACCGAGAAAACTGAAATAACTTGTAAAAGCATAAAAAATTTCAGACAACATTTGAACCACAGTTCAAGAAATTAGGCTTTGTGATAAATTTCAATGAAGTAATTGTCCATAAAAATCCAAATATGACCTAGAAATACATAGCAGTCAAAACGTCTGGCATACAATCACCTATCACACTGAGAGCCCAGAGAGTCACAATGTGATAAGAAAAGAAAACTGTCTGATGCCAGTATCAAGATGAATCCAGGTTCAAATAAATTGATAGGATTTTTAATGCAAGTATTATAAAAATATTTTCAGCAAAACTGTAAGTCTTCCTGAGACATACATAAGTTATTCTCAGCTAAGAAACAGAGGTTACAAAAGAGAAAAATGAAAATTAAAGAACTCAAAAATACAATGAAAGATTTATAGGCTTACTGACTGAGCCCAGTAGCTGGGGAAAGAATAGAAGGTCAACTGGATGGCATGAAGAAATGAAGAGACCTTGAGGGACTAGAACAAAACTCATCCTTAGAGAAGAGTAAGAAAAGAAAGATGAGAGGAATTTAAAATTATTTAAAGAAATAAAAGTTGAAAACATCCAAATTTTATGAAATGTCTATTGCTACAGGTCAAGAAGTTAAGTGACCCTGGAAGAAGAAAACTGAAAAGAAACTCCCACATGAAGACACATTATAATTATACTCTTGAAAACCACAGGTAAAAAGAAACTCTTGAAGTCAGCCAGAAAGTAATGACACACTCCCAACTGAGGAACCCGGTTGATAAAAAAGCAGATTTCTCATCAGAAGCCAGGAGGCACAAGGGGCAGCCTGGGTCTTCTCAAGTGTCTAAGAGACTAACTGCCACAATGATTTCCGTAACTGGTGGAAGAGTCTTTCAGGACTGAGGAGAAAATAAAAATACTCTAGAAAAGAGGTGCTTGTTGTCAGATTCAGACCAACCCTGGCTTAAAAAGACATGAAGAAGTAAGCAGAAACAAGGTTCCAGGAAAAGGCTGTCACTGTTAGGGAAGAGTGACAGGAAGAGCAGAATGTGGCTGCTACTGTCTCCTTCCTTCTCCCAGATCTTAAAGTATGAAAAATAAGCTATCACTGATTTAATTTTTGCAAAGTATCATTCTAAAATGATGAAAATTAATTAAATCACTCCTACTTCAGGGTTCCTTAGAATGCCCGGGGTACCACAATGCAGGTGTTTGCATCAATGCATTGACTCAGTCTATTGGTGTAGGAAGTGGGTTCAGTGGTAGTAGCTTGTAACCTTAGCTACTCAGGAAGCTGAGGAATGGGGGTTGTGGGCTTGAGACCAGCCTGTATAACATGGTAAGACCCTGTTAGAAAACAAAAGTATAAAAATAAAATTATACTTTTCTTATCTAAAAAAGAATATTAATTTTGTAATAGATATTTATTACAACCATTCCTGTACTAGGCAGCCTTTTGTAGAACAAAATAAGAAATGTGTCCGTTCTTTATAAGACTGTACATGATATAAATGGACTATTTCATAAAATAAAAAGTGATGGTTTATACTATTATCACTATTATAGGTGAGTTTCTGTGACACGCAGTCCAGCAATGCCCACATGCACACTGGGCTGCTCAGTCCTGCAGGCTGGTTGCCCTGCAGTGACAATCCAGCGGTGAAAGCTGGGAGGACCTGGAAAACTGGTGCTGCTGGGTGCACATCCTCCTGATGCAGGTTCTGGGTCAGTGATGCCTCAACCACACTCAGAGAAGTCCAGACCTGTGATGGAAGGAGAATGAACTCGCACAAGTTTCCTCTGACTCCACCTGGGCACTTTTACACAAGTGCACTAACACACACACACACACACACACACACACACACACACACACACACACAGTGACAGCATAAAGACCCTAAAGCATGGACAATATAAAACGTACAGTTTATTGTTGAAAATAACTTTTTTTTTTTTTTTCAGGCAGGGCCTAACATGGAGTGGAACTCACTATGTAGACCAGGCTGGCCTGGAACTCAGAGATCCACCTGCCCCTACCTCCCCAGCATTATTAGCCTTAAAGGTGTGTTAATGTGTATAGTGTTTGGGTCAGGAAAAAAGAATTAAAAAAAAAAAATGGTTCTTTGTAGGGAGACACCCTATCCCCGCCCCAGGTAACCTGGACAGGTGTACCAGGCTATGCCCGTGAGGGCGGGGGAGGGGAAGTCTGAGATGAGTAGAAGGAGGTTCAAAAGGAGCAGCAGGGCTCACAGGGAAAGCCCCTTCTCTCTGGCTGCAGCTAGCTTGCTTCCTGTGAGATCGCTTTGGCTTGCGTTTTGGACTGGTGTTTACCTGAATAAAGAAGTCTTAGCCTCACAGACTATAGCTCATCTTTGAGCACACTCGGTAACCCTCAACAGTTCTTATCAGGATGTAAAGGAAGAGAGAAAAAACAGTCTTCTGAGCCTAGTATAATAACATTATGCTCTTGAGGAATTCAGCAGGAGCAGGGAGCCCTGGCTGGAGAGCCCCCATTGTTTTCATAGTGGCATTTATGCTCCTATGATCGTGTAACAGTCTAAATTTATTCTTTGTCTTTTATGAGTTGTAAAAATGAGGGAGTTCAAGCTGGGCAGTGGTGGTGGTGCACACCTTTAACCCCAGCACTAGGGAGGCAGAGACAGGGAACTCTCTGAGTTTGAGGCAAGCCTAGTCTACAAAGTGTGTTCCAGGAATGCAGGAGAACACAAAGGAAACCCTGTGTTGGGGGGTAGGGTGGGGTGGGATGGGGGTTTCAATGTTCTACCCAAAAGTTCTTTATCCTCTAGTTACATTCTTTTTTATACTAGAAGTTGGGCCCATTTTAATTTTCCCCAAGACAAGGTCAGTGAGCAGAGCGGAGGTGGAAGTGGGGAGAATGGCTCCCCCATTGCCTGAACCCTACTACTAGCCGGATACCCCAGTACTTAGTATTTTCTCCCCACTTCCACTTGGAACTCAAGAGCTGAGTCGGTTGTGACAAATAGGGCATCAGTCCTCTAGTAGGGTGCAGTGTGGAACCTGCTAGCTCCTATTCCAGGTGGGAGGATGGGGGGAAAGACTTTGAGATTGTTAGTATTCAGGCATCTGTACTGGCCTGTCCTTGTGGTTCTGACAGAATATACCCTCAGCTGTAGTCACTAAGAACACCACCTGTGCACATTCACTATGTTCCCTTTTAAACATAGGGAACGTAGGTGCTCTGCCCACCTCCCATCCTTCTATGTCTCTTTCTCTCTTTCCTCTCTCTCTCCCCCTCTTTCCTCTCTGTCACCCTCTCCTCTCTCTCTCCCTCTTTCCTTTCTCTTCTCTCCTGCTGCTCCTATTTCCAGAGCCTGGTCTCCCTCCCCCCCCCTTCATGATCCCTTCCCCTAATTAAAAAAATAAAATAAAAATAAGACCCTCTGCTTGAACCCTGTCGCCTGCATCTTTCTCTTGCGCACTACTTTTTTAAAATTACAACAGAGATTCCTTTTGATTGGTCAGCATATGAAGGGGCCGAGCACAGAAGTAATGGGAGACCTAGATAAGCTAAGTAGGAGTAGTCCGTGGTGAGCGGCCCTATATATAGTATGCTGATTCTGGCTGGGAACTGCTGTGACACCTGCTGAAAGGCAACGATTTTATTCTGTCTCTTTCTTTTCTGATTCTTTTGTTCACGACCCCTGAGGACACAGCTGTCGCTGATTGAGATGAAGGGACCACGGGGTGTGGGAGCCCAGGACAGCAGTATCCTAGCCTCAGTTCCACAGTCCTGCCTTCTTTGCGAGCAAGTAAGAAGGGCAGTGAGATGGAGAGGTGTGACCGCTGGGCCAGCAAGGTGAGCTCCACAGAAGCAGAGCAGAGCAGAGCAAGTTAGCAGTGAGGCAGGGCGGGGCGGCAGCTGGATCAGCAGGGCCAGAGAGCAGCTGAGTGAGGGAGTGTCACTGAATGAGCGCGGGCGGAGGGAGGAGGGGCCGACAGAGTGAGTGAGCGACAAGAGCCCGCAGGCAATTGGAGGAGCGGTGGGGCAGTGAATGAGGAGTGAATGAGCCGAGCTCAGGAGGGGTGTGAGCGAGCTGCGCTGAGGAGAGCAGCGGGTGAGCGGAGCTGAGAAGTGTGAGGCAGCCTGGCTTAGGAGAGGAGCCCGCGAGCAGCGCTGAGGAGCTGAGCGAGGGCGTGCGGCACTGAGGAGAGGAGTGAGCGAGCGGTCGCTGTGGAGTTAGCGAGCGGCTCTGAGTGACCGATCCAGACAGCGGCAGCTAGGCGAGCGTGTAGGCATCTGGGACTAGCGGGTCGGGTCGGCGCTGGGTCAGGGTCCAGTCGGAGGTGGGTCGGCGGTCGGGGGCGGGTTGGTGGCATGTCAGCGGGATGTAGGCATCCAGGCAGGGACGAGTGCAGCCGGCCAGGGGTGGATCGGCAGTAGGTCGGGGTCCCATCAGTGGCTGGTTGTGGCTTGTTGGCCACCGGGCAGGGGCAGCACCAGTGGAGCAAAGCGAGCATGGCGAGAGAACGAGAAGGTGAAGGAATCTGGGGTCCAGGTACTCAGCCAGTTAACTGGAAACTACTGGGAGACCAGAACTGCAGTCCCCACACTGCTCATTTCATAGTGGCACATGCCCTGTGCCTGAAAGTGACACAGGGAGAAGTTTTCAGGGAGAGAGAACCTGAGCAGCACTGCCTTGAGCGATCCCCGAAGAGATTCAGGAAAAGATGGGAACTAGGAACTTGCATGGCTGGAGCAGGGAAAGGCTTGAATAAACAGCCCAGGTGCCTGGGACTTTGCTAATTTCTGCTTGGGGTCCTCTGCAAGGCTGTACTGAGGACTCCCCTATTCTCTCCACAGCTCAGATCAAAGTCTGTCTGTAGCGGGTCTCGGGAAAGGAAACATGGCAAAGGCTGTAGCCACCGGATGCAGTCAGAATCTTAGCCTTTTGGTTCTGCTGAGCTCTCTGGGGGCCAAGATGCTGGCTGGTGAGATACCGGGATTTGACTGGGGGAGGGGAGGGGACACTGGACTACTGAGTCAGGAAGTCTGCTCACAGGAAGCTCCTGGGCTTCTCTTTTTCACCTCATGATGCCTGCCAGAGGCTTGATGGGACTTCTTCTTTTTTTTTTTTTTCTTTTTTGTTTTATTTGAGTTACAAACACGATTGAATTACATGACAATCCCAGTTCCCTTCTCCCTCCCCTCTTCCCCTACCCCCCCTCCCCCAGCAACTAAAACCCTACCTAAAGCATTGATGGGACTTCTAATAGCCCAGGAACACAAGTCATTGTCTCTAACGGCCCATGCCAGGAGCCACACTGATGTGCAGTGTATTTTCTCTGGGGCAGGTGGGTGGGCCTGACTCCTGCCCAAGCAAGGTGATTTGTAGCAGAAATTCTAATGGTTCTTAATAAAAGAAAAAAAACTCAGAGTCAGCTATCAGGAGCTGAAGGATGAAAGATTAGAGAAGCAGAGCAGCTGGCCACTAGAATTCTTACTTCTACCAATGCTCAGACCAAAGGGACACCATGGCCTTCGTGAGACTGTGAGACTAGGAAGGCCAGGGTGACTTCCCTTCTGTGTGTTCAAAACCCTTTTAAAGCTTTTGTCAGGTTTTATGTGGAAATTCTTGCCAAATATTTGGGTGGGACAGAAATACAGAAAGAATGACTGTACTTGATGGGACCTGATCTGTCCTTCTGGGAAGGCAGTCTGGGTCTGTCTTTGAGGTGGTCCAGTTTTAATTGTTTTTTAAGATTTATTTTATGTTTTGACTGCATGTATGTATGTGCACCAATATGTGTCTGGTGCCCTCAGAGGTCAAAAGAGGGTATCAGATCCCCTGGACATGGAGTTATAGGCAGTGATGAGCCACCATGTGTGGTTTGTAAATGGAGGTTTCTCTCCTGTGTACCAGTTCCTGAATAGCCACTCAGAGGATTATATTAATTATAAATGTTTGGGGATGGCTCAGGATTATTAATAACTAGCTCTTACATTTAAATTACCCAATTTCTATTAATTTGTGTATTGTCACTTGGCCTTAACTTACTGATGTTTTGACATCTTGCTTCTTGGGAGGCTGTTGGCAACTGCCAGACTCTGCTTTCCTTCTCCCTGTATGTCTATTTGGCTTCCCCAGCCTATTCTTCCTGGAAATAGGCCAAACAGCTTTATTTAACAACCAATGAAAGCAACACATATTCACAGCATACAAAAGAGCATTCCAAAGCAGTGGTTGCTGAGAATCAAACCTGGATCCTCAACAAGAGCAACAAGTTTACTTAACTGCTGCTCCACCTCTCCAGCCCCAATGGTTCAGTTTTTAAACAATGGGCACATGTTTAAAATTTAAATTTAAAAGACTGCTTATTGGTGCAGTCTACTGAACAGAACAGCTAAAGGATGTTGTGTCTTCTGCTGTTAGTGAAAGTCGGGGAGACCAGGAGACATAGGTGTGCTGGGAGACACCTGCCTGAGAAAGGGGAGAGAGATCAGGGCTCCAAGCAGGTCATAGACAGAGACCTCTTCCTGAGAATGAGTCAGGGCTGTGGTTTGACATGGGAGAATCTGAGATCTCTTGACCACACTGTGGTGTGAAGTGCCCAGAGTAGGGACACAGGGACAGGGGTGAGGACTGTGCTCACAGGTGGCAGCTCCCCTTTTCATGACAAGTTGCAGCATTACTCTAGGATTACTTTCCTGAACACCCAGGCTCCGTTCTGAGTTCCCCACTTGTTCTATGATGCCTCCTTTTCCTATAGATTTTCATCCCAGGAACACACATACTATATGATATATTTTATTCCTCAGCAATTGATAAAAGTCACTAAAATTACTTGTGAGATAAACCCTCCTGGTGACACTGTGTATCTCAGGGGTCCTAACAACCTAAGAATCAAAGATGGCACAGAAATAAAGGTCCAGAAGCTGGTGGACATCTTGACTAAAGGCCTTGACTTCCTGCCCTTTTGCCAATGAGAATGAATTTAGATATCACAGAACCATGATTCCTACTTCGTACCTCATATTCATGTGTCTCTCACAGATACACACTCTCTTAGATGCCACTTCATTGTCAAGACTCACCCCAAAGCTGGAGAGCACTGGTGTGAAGGACAGTGCTCAGTGGATGGAGTGCCTTTCCTTCAGTATAGTAACCAAGGAAAGGAGGTAAATGCTACTAAGGGATGTGCAGATTTGTACCCAAAACTAAAGGACACTGGAAAAGAGTTGAGGACTCTGCTGCTTCACATGGAAAAAGAGGCAGTCCTGACCAGGGGTGAGTATGGGACAGGATACAAAGACAGAGGGTATCAATAAGAGACAGGAAGGGCAGAGCCCATGTGGGAAGGGGCTGTGGTTGTATTTGCATGAAAGAGCTGAGTCCTGTTAATCCTGTTCCAGGCTGGAAGGACTTGGTACCCAATGGATAAAAAATGACAAGCCAGGGAGGGAAGAACATAGGTACTGAGGGTGCAGAGGAAGACTTGACCAAGGAGCAGGTGATGGCTCTATAAAGGGAGATGACGGTTTTGTATGTCATTCGCAGATAATCACAACTTGCAGGGCACCATGATATCTCAATATAAACCAGGACAACTCATTGATGCCTCCTGGAAGTTCACCATTGATGGACAGTATGCCTTCTGCCTTAATCGCTATAATCAGAAGAACAAGAAATGGGAAGTGATTAACTATAATGACACAGGTATCCTAGAGCAATGGGAGAATAATGCAGAACTAGCACAAGATCTAGCAACGCTCTCCATGGGAGATTCTGATCTCTGCCTCAAGGAAATCTTTAAGCACCAGAAGGAAATGCCAAGTAAGTTGTTAGGTAGATTATCACAAGGAAACCTCCACAGGGTGGGAAAGGCAGGAAAATTCTCTTGAAAATCTGGTGACTTTCCTATATTAATGTCAGCATGTGTGCATAATGGAAGATTTGATTGAGTGATTTCTTGGTGGTCTTCCTGTCTTTGGAGCCACTGATAACCACAAGGATCTCTTTCCTACCTCACCTCTTAATGTTTCTCATTCCCGTTTAGCCAATGGCCCAGGCACTACATGGCCTGCTAATGGGCCTAAGTCTGTGTGCATCACTGTAAACCTCCAGCCTTTTCCTCCTCACTTAGAGCTGCCTTCCACCAGGTTCGCATCACTTTGAAAGACTTCCTTATCTTTCCCTGGAAACAATTAAACACCAAAGAGCCAACATCCAGAAAGTTTTATGCACAGTAATATGTCACTTTGTTTGATGGTTTAATAGACATTTGCTTTCTTTGGCAATGACATAAACTGTGCAAGGACATCATACACACACTCCACTCCTCTCTCTACTCAGGAATTGTAAAAACAGTTGTTACACCTGAGTTCCTCAGGCTATCTGGGGAGAGAAGGTGCTGATATAGGTGTGTTTTTTTAGCTTTATACTGAATGTTCTGGATTTTTTTTTATAGGACCAGCCTCAAGGACCCCAAAGATCACAGAGGTTACATCTGCCACCCAGCTTCCATGTGATATGAATACCACCCAGCCTCCACCTACCAGGCAGGTTCCGGAAAACAAAGAAACTACCACCATGGCAGTAGCCATCACCACCATCCTCTTTATTATTTTAATTTTTATTAGCATTTTCACTTGGAAGTATATGAAGAGGAAAAGTCATCCCCAAGGAGGTAAGGAGGAAGCTGGGGTCTCACTCTGGTTCTTCATAGTCTGCTGATGAATTGAGACAACTGTCCCACTGGGTATCAGGGAGCAATTGTTCTAGTAAAGTGGAGCCAGGAGGATCAGAAATAGAAGGCCATCTTTGATTATGTAGTGAGTATGAAGTCAAAACCTCATTTCCATCTGAAGTACATAATGGCAGAAAGGTTTGAAGTAAATAAATCTTAAAAACACACACACACACACACACACACACACACACACACACACACACACATACACACTGGGAGGCTGGACTGCACGTCTGTGAAGTGGGGAGATCTCCCATCTGAAATGAATCAGAGCAGGCTGCAGATGTGCAGGTGCCACTGTAACTGACACCCCCTTTCCATTCCCAGGTGCTTCTCCACAATACTCCTCAGCTTCCTCATCTGCAGTCTGATCTACAATCATTGCCAACAGCTGCCTCTGCTGTTACTCTTCTGCATCACAGCCAGGAAAGAAAAACGTCTGATGATGTTGGGAATCTGCCATTTCACTTCTGACCAAACTGTGAAATATTTAAGTTGACTGTCTCCATGCCTCCTCTATCACTTTATCAAGATGAAACAGGCCATTGTTACCAATGACTCCATCTCGATTTATTCCTGTCCTCTTTCTTTCTCATTCTTAGAGTATGTCCATGAGGAGATCAGGCTATTCCCTGCTCTAGGTTACTCCTTTTGTGTAAAATGACGGCTTTCAGGCTGGGTCTTCCCCAAGGTGATTCCATTATACAAGCAACAAGTTGATGCCTGGGCTTCTCTTGTACACACAGACATGCCTTCTGTCTAGCACCACCCATAAGGCAAAGTCAGACAAATGCCTTTTTCCTAAGAGTGAAAGACACCACTAATAGACATATCAAAATCAATTAGACACATGAGAATTAGGATGTTTCAAAATCATCTGTTGTGCTGGATATTTTATGTCAGTTTGACACAAGCTAGAGTTTTCTGAAAGGAGGGAACCTCAGTTGAGAAAATGTCTCACTCTGACCCAGCTGTAGGTCATTTTCTTAGTAGTGGTTGATGGCAGAGGGCCCAGTCTACTGTGGGTGGTGACATCCCAGGGCTGATGGTCCAAGGATTTATAAGAAAGCAAAAGAATAAGACATGGAGAACAAGTCAGTAAGCACCCTCCATGGCCTGTGCATCAGCTCCTACCTCCAGATTCCTGCCCTGCTTGAGTTTCTATTTTAGTTTCCTTCAGTGATGGAAACAAATGGAAGTATAAAACAAATAAACTCTGTCCTCCACAGCTTGCTTTGTCATGGTGTTTTCATTATAGCAATAGAAACCCTAAATAAGACAACATCTGAAAAATCAGACCTGAAAAATTATCAAATATCCCAAACTGACCTAGCAACAACTTAAATACAGTTGTAGGGATGAGGAGGACCAGGGAGGACAACTCCCATGACCTTACATCCTGTGGAAAAGTTTAAGATAAACTTAATCACCTGGTTAATCTTATCCTGAAAGGGTGGAGTCAGTGGTGGTGCTGTCCCCCTCCTAGTATTCAGGGACAGCCTTGATCATCTGTCCCAACAATATACTGATATACTGAGACACAAGGGTCTGTGAATCTAGTGAGAGGTTGGTGTGGTGGAAAAGCCTAATGTAAAGCCATCAATGAGGCTGATAGAGGTAGAGTTGTGAAAAATTTAGATCACAAATGAGTATTTAGAATTCAGAGGGCTTTGGGAACTTAGTTCTCCCAGTCGAACTAGGTCATGGTGAGAATCTTGATTACAACTGGTCGATTTTTAATTTTGTATTATTTATAGTTGTATATTTTTGTCAAGTGTTTAAGAGCATAAAGATGGCCAATAGCTTCTTTTTGTTGTTGGCAGTTTTGTCTTTTTAGGGGTTCCTTCTAGTGATGTTCGGGAGTTTTATGAGCACCGTGTCTCCCCACTCGTTCTTGTTGTCTGCTGGACAAAGAGTATTTTTCTGTGAAATGACCCAAAGCTCAAACTCAGGGTCTCCATAACTTCTCTGAAGCTATGAGATCCTTTCAGAGCTGTCCCATTGTCCTCCACTCTGGAACAAGAACAATCTGGAGGCAAAGATGAACATAGTGACTTTTACCAAAGCCCTTGATCCTCATTGCTTTGGGCTTCTAATGTTGACTACTGAAAACTCAGAAAGTCACTTGGCCCAGAGTTGAGGAACAGATAGTGGTTTACTCTATTATGTAACTTTCAGGGGTGTCCAACTCACAGCCTGGGATACCCATGAATGTGGGCAAATCAAATTCAGGGACTTCCTTAAAAATATTATTAGACTATTTTGCAAAGATTTTTAGGTCATTGACTATTCATTGAATTATGTAGGCTCAAAATGAATAATTATGCAGATCATTTGTGTCATAATATCAAAGATTAGACACTTCAAATGAATAAATGTTGACAAAGACAGATAGTAAATTAATCTTGACTGTAAGAACCCATTATTAAGAAGTTAAAGACCACTCTATACAGAGGGAATTACAAGCAGTTGTCTTGACAAACATGAATGCAATTAAGCAAGAGTGGTTTTTATAAATCCATACCATTCTGAATTAACTGTCAAAAGCCTTTAACATATGGAAACGTGCTTTTTTGATCATCTTCTAACAGTCCTTTAGGGTAAAATTAATTTGTCATAGAAATCCTTCTGACCCATAATCATATGCTCTCCATCAGAAATCCATCTCTATACCTCTATATAGTCATTGCCATCTCTTTCTTGGCTGCTTCTGTTATTTGTTAAATTCCTGCTGAAATTTAAGCTTTTTTTCCCCCTTGAATCATTAAAAACCTGAACTCAGCAAATTTCATCATGTTTTGACTTTCATAAAATAATTTTAGACACACAATATTATCAAGTCTTATATTGTCATTGCTTAACTGTTTTTTCACACTTAACTTCAATAACATAGTGACAGTGTTTGTATAATGCTGGTATTTCCTTTTTTCTTCACAAATTTAAAATAATCCAATCTGGTAGATTTGTTTGTATCTTCTGAGTTAAAAGAAATTTGAACTAAGCTTGCCTAGTCTCTTGCTTACTTATCAGCCAAATAAAATTAAATTCTTTGAGGATGGGTTTTTTCATGCAAACATATCTCATAGAATCTGCCGGAAGGTGAATAGATACATCAAATCAAAGATACCTTACTGTGTTCCTGAAGTCTAGTAGACAAGTTGTGCATGCTGTCTGGGGCAGAGCTAGAGAAATGACTCAAGCCATTTGGAAGATTCTAGAAGATCATGAGTGGACTCCAGACACTGGACACTGATTTGGTTTTGCTTTGTTTAGATTGTGATGGTGCCCTAGTGCTTCCCTCCTGAAATAAAAAAGTAGTTGACTTAATTTTTATGTTTCCAGAAGCTCACAGTTAGAGACTTTGAATATTTAAAAGAGAATATCCATTTTTTAAAAGATTTTAGATTTTTTATAAAGACTGACTTTTAAAGTGTTTGGATTGGTAAAGATCATGGGACTTTTTCAGTCATTTTTATACTGTGATATTAATATTAACATGACATCTTTGGGATAAATGAGAAAGAACAGGTTCTGGATGAAATATATTTTGTAAAATGAAAATTGTTGTGTTTTTGTGTCAAGTTGATGGTTTCAGTTGTGCTGGCTAAGTTTATATCAACTTGACAATACTGGAGTTTCATCCCTAATTTGCTTTTGGTCATGGTGTTTCATCATGGGAACAATAACCCTAACTGGAGGGAAAGGGAACTCACCATCCTGCAGAGAGCAAAACCTTGATTACCCACAGGCCCTTGCATCAGGATGTCTGTCCAGAAATGAAAATGGCAGACACAATTGCTGTCAGCCAGGCCTTTTCTCCCTCCCATGCTGTAGAATAACAACAACTGTAAATAGGGAAATGAGAGCGGAGATGAGAAGATTCTTATAGAAAGTTTGGTCCTCCTGAAATGAGCCGTCACTCTCCCTTCACCATAAGGCAGCACATAAGTGAAAACAAATTAGCCTTAAACCCTTGAGTCTGAAATCACTCATTAGCTTATAGCCTGAATTGTCCTGACCCCATATAAATGCAGGTGGTCCAGATTCCATCCTGCAGGCCTTTTGATCTCACTGGAAGTTCTCCCCAGACAGAAACCTTCAGCTGCCCATGGACTGCTCCAACAACTACCGAAAGCAAAGAGAGCTGAGTTCCCCCACAGGGGCATCAAAATGTTGTCCCAGAGGTTGAGCCCAAATCATGGGGCAAAGGCATCTATTGCCCAAACACATATCATCCTATCCAAGAGTGAGGAACCTCCTCACAGAAGAGAAAAGAAAGGATGTGATGACAAGAAGGGGTGATGATGTGAAATGCTGTCTTCCTGACATGACATGGCTGTGGCACTGTTGACCCCTCAGCAGCTCTGAGTACTTGCATGATCCCTGCACAAGAGCAGGTCTGTCACCCTCCCCTTCATGGGGGGTGAGGGGCTCATGAGGCTCCAGGGATCCCTGGGGAATATAACAACAATTACTGGTGCTGGAGGGGAGAGACATTTTTATCAATGGTGGAGCCACTCTTAAGTTTTCCATGTTCCTATTCTAAACCGCTCACCACACTTGTACAACCATAAATAAATTAGTTGAGGTGCACACACACACACACACACACACACACACACACACACACACACACACACAGGTGAAGCAGAAGCAATGGTCACTAAAAGAGAGGGGGCCTTTGGGAGTGGAAAGGAGACAGTGATCAAAGGGTTAATATGGCTGAAATACATTTTATACATCTACAAAATGTCATAATGAAACCAATTCTTGGTGCCTGTCTTTGCAAACAGCAGGATGACACAGGTCATATACACACAGAAAACAAAGGCCAAATCTGTATCTATATTAATGCTCATCCCTGTCCCTGCTGGGGAATGCTCATGAAGGCATCTGTTAGGTGAGCATGTTGTCTAACATGGAATTACCCAGAAAGGGCCATTGCTATAACCTCTGTGAGGCTCAGGTCTGTGTCCTGACACCATAAAATGATATTCTGGGTTGGGATCTGGCAGCAAGATACCCATTCTAACCTCTGACAAGGTCTATAGTAGTCTCTTTAATATGGAAGAGAGGGCCTGGCACTTGCTGATTTTGTCATCTGAGAGCCACTGGAAGGCCCTTCACTTGAGAGCTTTATGGACCTGGAGGGTTTTGACATTGACTAAAGCTTGTTTGTCATTTGTAAAACTGACTTTGTAAGGACTTTAGTTTTTTGTTCCCAGGTGACCCAGGTCAGGTGAACCTGGCCGGTGGCTGGCAGAATTTTCTGTAATGGTATTCATAACAATGCATTAATATGTGGTTATACTTTTCCTGTTGTGATGGCTGTTCATGGTTGTCAACTTGACAACAAATGGAATTAACTAATATCCAAAGTGGCGAGGCACACCTGTGGTGGATTCTTTCAGTAACTGGATCCTTAGTTAATTAGATTAGAAGATTAGAAGATCCACTTCTAATCTAGAACTTTGAGGTGGGAAGTCACACCTTTAATCCAAATCTTTTTTTTTAAAAAAATGTTTCAAAGTTTTTATTCCCCCTCTCCACTCTTTGCTGCCTGGTTTTCAGTTCTTCAAGCAGTTCTTATAGATAGTCGTTTCCTATATTTCTGAGAGAGTGGTTCCATGGCAGACGACCAAAGGCTGGGCCCCTCTGGCTACAATGTAGACATTCCAGTGGGCAGCACCATCATAGCCAATATCCCCAGGCTCTATAGGCATGGCCACAGACTGACAGTGTTTTCTGCACTGGAAGAGAGGGATGAGCTGCAACATCGCATCCCTGCTGCCAACAGTAAACAGGTCAGGTCATGTACCTTATGCATCTTGCTGCCCACCACAGGTTCCTGGGGGACCAGGAAGCACTTGTTTAAGGAGGTGTCTTTTGGGAATGGAAGTTGGTTAAAAACAGGAAAAAGCTCCTGTAAAATCTGTAAATCTGTGATCTGTTTGGAGGTCTCCTAGCATATGGCCTGCAAGGTTAAGTCTTAAAACGCCATGGAACACCGGGCGGGTGATTTTTCTAGTACTGACAGGCGACTGCAAACAGTTCTTTCATACTCAGGTCAGTACAGCAAGACAAGTACCTTCCTTTCTGAAATTTGAAATGCCAGGCTTATCACGTTAAGTCCACGTTTTTGTTTTTAA